TCAGAACCCTGGGAATTAGGGGAAATGGGGGGAAAGCATAGAGGATGCCCGCTGGCCACGGGACGATCATGGCATCCCCCCAGGAGTGTTCTCCCAGCCCCAACAGGGAGCAGTAGCTCTGGCACTTGGTGTTGCATGCCGAGGCAAACAGATCTAGTAGGGGACAACCCCACCTGCGGAAGATTTGACAAAGTGCCGAATCCTTGAGAGACCACTCATGGGCTCCGAAGGACCTGCTCAGAGCATTGGCCAGCAAGTTTTTGCACACCGGCAGGTACTCTGCCTGGAAAACTATGTCGTGCTCTACACACAGGTCCCAGAGGCACAGGGCCTTGTGGCAGAGGGGAGGTAACCGGGCTCCCCCCTGCCTGTTGAGGTAAAACACAGCGGACCTGAACACTCCAACCTGAACAATGCCGCATCAGAATCCGACGAGTAGTCCGACTCAGGCCAGGGAGGCGCAGATGATGAATGTCCTGCCATCAAGGGTGGGTGAGGGGGGGAGAACCTTGCAATAGACTCCGGTTTGCCTGCGTGCACGCAATGAGGGCATGCTGGCACCGGGAAAACCGTCCTGATGCCAGTGCTGTATGTGGTGCCTGTTGCTGCACCAGAAGGACAGGTCCCGGTGCTGAGAGTGGAGCCAGTTGCTGCATCGGAAGGACAGGTCCCAGTGCCGGGAGTGGAGTCAGTGCCGGGAGAACAGAGCCTAGTGGCCGGATTGGAGCCGGTTGCGGCACTGGGAGGATAGGTCCCGGTGCCGGTTGTGGTGCCGAAGTCGGAATTGGTTGTGAGACGAACCCCAAAGACGCCGACTTCACTGGGAGGACAGATCCTGGTGCCCGGAGTGGAGCCGATTGCGGCACTGGGAGGACAGGTCCCGGTGCCGGTTGTGGTGCTGACCCGGAACATGGCTGCAGTGCTGAAGTCGGAATCAGTTGCGAGACGAACCCCGAAGAGGCCGACATCACCGATGATGGCGGCACCAGCATGGCCCACGGGGTCGATGCCGGTGCCTGTAACTGTGTCAAAACTTACATCGATGCTGAAGAGGCTGATGCTGAAGTGCCTGGTGCCGATGACTGAAACGGCACCCCGGGAAAGCTGCTCAGCGCTGGTACCGATGATAGTGCCGTAGACGGTGCTGCAAGGCCTGGGTGATACGGCACCGGAGCAGCCAAGATGGGGTCTGGAATAGGTCCCAGCGTTGAGGGAGGTCAACTCCAGTTGAGCGCTGAGTGAAGCCTGGTGGCCTGCGTCGAGGCCGGCACCAATTAGGAGGCAAGCGGACGGTGCTGCAAGGCCTGGGTGATACGGCACCGGAGCAGCCAAGATGGGGTCTGGAATAGGTCCCAGCGTTGAGGGAGGTCAACTCCAGTTGAGCGCTGAGTGAAGCCTGGTGGCCTGCGTCGAGGCCGGCACCAATTAGGAGGCAAGCGGTACTGGTCCCACAAGGGATGGTCCCGCTGCATAAGCGACCGGTGCCATCTGGTCATGCCGGTGCTGCGGCGAAACCGGTGCCAACACGGCCTCCGGCGTAGGTGACCTCGACCTCTCGGCCTCAACTGACGACGGAGGGGAGGTAGTGAGGCTAATAAGATCATGCGCCACCTCAAAAGTGTCCAGCGTGGAAGGGCGGTGCGAGGGTAGTTGCCCTGGATTGGATGGACGTCCCGCTTGCTTACGCCACACTGTGGTGGATGAGGACGTGTACCCCGGAGACATCGCACTGCGGTGTAGGCCCGACTTGGACTTCCGGCTTGGAGACCTACCACGGGACACTCTTGACCTCTTCGGTGCCGGAGAGTGAGACTGGTGCCTAACCCTCGACACCGAGGCCCGGTCTCGAGATGGAGCCTCACGCGTGGACGCCAGTGCACTGTGCACCGCAGAATATCCAGCCGGTGCCGGCTGTGAAGCCGCCTTCATGAGGAGAAGTTTTAGACAAGAGTCTCTCTCCCTCTCAGTGCATGGCTTAAACAACTTGCAGATCTTATAGGCGTCTGTAAGATGGGCCTCACCCAGACACTTCAGACAACTGTCGTGAGGGTCTCCTTTGGGCATAAACTTTGCACAGACAGCGTACACCTTAAAGCCCTGCGGCCCTGCATTCCTCACCCCCGAAGGGGAAGAAGAAAATGAAGAGACACTATCTAACTAACTGAACTATTTAGAACTATCTACAATGCTAAGAGAAGTGGGAACCATTAACTGAACTAACAGAGAGATACGCTCCAATGACCGTCACGGGCGGTAAGAAGGAACTGAGGTGGGGGAGCGCCAGCAGGGGTACTTATGCCCCACCATGGCGGCGCCACTCCAGAGGGCGCACTGCCGGCGCTACGGGTACCGCTAGGGGAAAACGCTCCAGAAGACGCGGTGCACACAGTGCGCACACCTAATTCAAATGGACATGAGCAACCACTTGAAGAAGAAACATAGCGATGATGGCCTACCAGGGACTAACCCTGGTGGGCTGCTGCTTTTTTATTGTCTTCCTCTGCACTAGGATTTAACTTCCACTTTTTAAAGGAGTGCTGATCTCCTTTTATCTGTGTTCGCTACTGGCGATGGTGTGATAAATCCCATCTTTCGGTGGATTAGTGAACTCCACCTCCTGTGCTCATAACCCTCACTATTTATTGTGCAAGCTTTATAACATGAGTCTCCACAGCTAAAATCAAATTACAGACCCATCTCATCTGCTTGTGTTTGCCAGTGCAGCTAGGAAGCCCTTAGAAATGCCAGTAAAATAAAACAATTTACATTTATACTGTACCTTTCATCCTAAAAGGATCCCAGATCAATTCAAAATCTTAAAGTAATATACAAGCTATATAGGGGAAACACTTCTTTTCCTAAAGTAGTGATGGGAAACCTGCAGCCCAAGGACCACATGAGGCCATTAGGGTTCTATGTGTGGCCTGCAAGGCATTTTGTTTACCATTGTTCATGCACAGGGTTGCCAGATTCCACTAGTTTCCATCCGTGCCATTTTTTCCCTACTGGTATTACTAAAATGACATGCACATAAAGCAAGGGTACGTGAAGTCAGAAGCATCCTGATTGCACACAGCAGTGACTGTGAGAGCCATGTGCTCCCTCAGTGTCCAATCAAAGCAACGCAAATTCTAGGTGTATAAGTGCATGGAGACAACAAACTTGTGGCCTTTGAAATGAAGGAGGGCACTCACAGGGCCAGCTCGCTAGCCCATGTTGCCCCTTGCTGCCCTAAAGAAAAGCTACCATCTCTAGGTTGAATTGTGACAGCTGTTTTTTCACTGCACGCTGGTATCACAGAACAGGTGGGGAAATCTGAAGGAAGACCTTAAATTCACAAGTTCCACAGCATGCATTTGTATTACCCTTAATTAGAGTAAACTCCACAAGGCCTAACAAAGACAGTGAATTCTGTTGCAGCATGAGAAACCTCAACCATAGCTGCATGAAAGGCAGCCTTCCTGATGCCTTGCTATACTCCTGAGCTCTTCACCACCCTGCCACCCATTTGGGCTGCTCAAAGCAATATTGGGATAGAGGAGTTTAAAGGCAGCAGCCTCCTTTTGTCCTCCTTGTTGTATATATCAGGGTGTGTGTGTGTAAACATCTTCACTGTCTGCCTGACAGAGATGAATTATTAGTTATGAAAGGAAAATTGTTTTGAAGCCAGGCATAACTGGCACCATTTGGAGCTTCCTTTGTCATCTTTTGCAGGAAGAAGCTAGAACTCCAGCAAACTAGCTAACTACCTCCATTATGCAAGTATCTCCAACTGTAACTAGAGAGCAAGGCCACCTCTGACTAACTGATGAAATTTTATATAATAGTGAACATTACAACTATGTTTTAAATAAAAAAAGTAAAACAGAATTCATATCTTTTTCTTAGTTCAAAGAAATCTTGCAATTAATGTAGCAACAAAATAGCCATCTCTAGAGTTTGAACTCAAACCTTCACATCTTAGATTTAAGAAAAAGAATGAAAGTGAAGTGAGATTAGTTCATATAACTGATTGGGCAACAGTCCTGGTGGTGGTAGTAGCTTACCTGAAATTCTAATGGGAGAAGCTGCTAAGAGGAATGATACAGAAATGGTAACTGAGAAGGACACTCACAGATACTCCAGTACCAGCCTCTCCCAGCTGGAATCACTTACAAAAAATGAAATAGTGACACAGGCTTGAGAATTTGTGTGTGTGTGTGTGTGTGTGGGTGTGTGCGTGTGTGTGTGTGTGTGTGTGTGTGTGTGTGTGTGTGAGAGAGAGAGAGAGAGAGAGAGAGAGAGAGAGACTTGTGCCTCGAGAATCTCAGTCGTTTTGGGCAGGGACTGGAAATTGATTTGCAAGTTATACTTTGGAAAGCAGAGTGCACATTTCTATACAGATTCATACCAAGCAATGCAAAGGTGTGTGGTAAGACAGATAGCTAGGAGCCGAGGGAGGGTTTGCAGCTGATTAGACTGGAAGCAGAGATTAAGGTTTATTGTCACATCCGTGTTCAGCTCCAGAGCTACCACTAAACCTGAGACAATCTCCACCATGGATTCAATGTTTCCAGATATGTTTGCAGGGTACATGCACAGAAAACATTGCCATGCAAGAGATCTGTAAAATAAAAAAGGAGCAACTTCCAAAGTCTCTTTTGTTATATGACCCTTCTTCCTTCCCCTTGTCATTTTCTACTTCGAGTCACTTTTTCCTCACATTTCCTGCTTTCCTTTCCCAGCTAATTTGGGACAAATGTTATTTTGGGAATTCCTCAAAACATTTGCTCTCTTCTTTCGTCAAGACACATTTCCCTTCTTTATTCGGGGTATTGTAGATGTGCTGGCTTCTGAAGAGCAAAAATACTATGGCAGACTCAACTTCCCCCAGCAAACTATGCTGTTGAAAAATGTGTAGGAATGAAATCTCTCAGATACTCTTGTTCCTTCCTCAGCCACCTGGAAAATGGGAAAACACTCAGGTGCAATTTAAATCAATTCATTTTCAATTTGCTTACCTGCTTCACCAACAAAGACTTCCACGGGTGTGCTGGTAGGGCTCTCCCCAATGATGTTATACGCTGTTATTACAACTTCATATCTCTTATATTTCTTCAGTTCTGGAAATTTAAATCAGAAGATTAAAAAAATTGGCATTTTAACATCCTACTTAATACTCTCTCATCTCTTTATGTCAAGAATTCTCTCCCACTCGATATAATGCTGGAATACAGGAAACAGTAAGTCACTGAAAGCTAGTATTTACCTGGCTATGTCCATCTCTAATTCACACATAATCACTGTGTGTGCATAATTATGAGAAAGGCACCATATCTCCTCAAGAAAGGACCTGACTTACTTCATCATTTTGCTGCTTCTGTAAAAGGGATAATACCTACTGGGTGACTAGCTGGAGGGAACATTGCTGGACTATTCCACAGCTGCCATTACCCGGTGGAACATGCGCAGGGAGTAGACTCTGCACTATGCTCCAAAAGTTCAAGATCTGGACTCCTCCTGGTTTCTGCTGGTGGGAGAGAACACAGCTGCAGACCTTCCCCTAGCCTCAGAGAGTTTCACCTTGGGAACAGTCAAAAGCAGCATCATGAATGTTTACAGCTGCTGAAAAGAAATGGAATTCATAGTCCTATTCAAAGGGCTGCACAGAATTCTTTCTTTCAAACAATCACAGTTTGAAACTGAAATCTCCTTCCTTTTAAAGTTCAAATTCTTCTATAATTCATTTGGCCACTGGGCAACTATTTCTTAGTTGACTCATAGGAAAGACACTAATAGCTTTGGGAAGAGTGACAGCTGGGAGAAAAAAAAAAGCTAGCAAATCCCATGGCATTAGGGTAATTAATAAACAAGGGAAGGACAGGGGGTGGAATAGAATAATGTAAATACCCTCGCAGAGGGCTGGCTGCAGCTGCCCAGATTTCCATGATTTGCATCTGAAAATGAAATCACCTCCTCTATAGTAAATATAAAAGGGCCCCCAGCAAAAGTCAAGTCAATAGTATAATGAAATTGTACTTTAATCAGCACTTAGTTTATTCAGACGTGTGTGTGTGGATATGAGTCTGAATTTCTCCCTGCTACCTGTGAATCACAAGGCACCCCTTGATCTGTGGCTCATGGCAAACCACCAGTGCAGTAAAGGTTCGATGAATCTGATCACAGGGGTCCTTCTAATTTCAGCTTCACAGAAGTATTTACAAGTGCCCATATATCTGAATCAGAGTCCAGCATCTCGGACTCGTTTCAGATACACACTAGATGATGTTTGATACATCACCAAGGCTTTGCCAGCCATAAATAAAACATTGATATACCATAGGAAACAGCCATCTTGATAAGAATTGTGGCACTTGTCAGCTCACACAGAGGAACTTTCCTTGCTCTTGTTGTTAAAAGAAATCAGAAGAGGAGTTTCAACGCGAGGAAAACAGAACATATGCGAGTTCAGGCATCTGAATGCGTGTGAGGTTGGGGCTCCACTCCTCCTCCCAACCTCACAATCTGTAACTTGAAAGCCCGGGGCCAAACCTGCCTAGTGAACCATCATCACCAGAAAGCAACTTGCCTTTTAATTCCGTCGAATCCTGTTTTATTCATTTCCAACTGAACACACCTCTGAGCTGCATACAAATTCTTTGGGCCCTTTCTAAACTAGCCCTCTACTTGCGGGAGTGCCTGAGCATCCCAGTGTTCAAGTCAAAGGACTAATGATGTGATTCAGCTAAACTCAGATGGACTGTGAAATATGAGGCGGACAAAATCAGAATTCATTTAGCATTGGAAATACTGACATGTTAGAGTCAATAATGCTTCATCTTCTCAGCAGCCTTATTTTTAAACTGTTACCTACTTGCATCATCAATGTCTTGATATATTGGAAAGAAGCATGTAAAGAAAAGGAATTCAAGGAAGCAGAATCATTAATCTGAAATGTTTTCTGGGTGATTCAGTGAGGAGAACCATATAAGTTTGCCCATAGTATATTCCCAACCATTACAAAAAGTCAAGGCAGCGTGCACTTACGTGTTAATTCATACGTCGTTAATGCAGAGGGGCTATTCACTGTCTGGAAGCTGCTTTGGGCTATTCAGAGTAAGCAAAGCAGAAAGCTTGTTACAGTGCAGGGAAACAGTTATTGCAAATGATGTACAGCAGAGACAGAGGGAAATGATGCAGCACACACGTACACAGTTTGAGCTTTAGGACTGTACCTTGAAGGGCAATAAAATCACATCACTCTCTTGTAACACATCAAAAGCATCTCACTCACCAGGGGCTGTTTCATTTCATCACCAAAGAGAATCACATAAATATGCAGCATAGGGAAATGTACTGATTCATTAGATTAAACAGAACAAATGAGTGTAAGGGAATCAATTCTATGGGGGGAAATTTCCAACACTGCACTGAATTCTTAGTTCTCATCCTACCAAAGCTTAAATGTCGACCACTCTAGAAAAAAGTCCCAAAATAGCTAGCACTTAAAATGATATAGGATTTATTCTCTAAAACATAAACTAAGTTTCCCACATTTCATTATCATGGTATCTTTAGTAATAGTAAACTGTATAAAAACAGCAAGTTAGTGTGGAAGGAGGATCCTCATGAGTGAGAAACATCACTGCATTGCTCTAAGAGTAGAGTGAATTTTCTTTGAAAATCTCTCTCTCTCTCTCTTTTTCTGACTTTCCTGAAAAAGCACAGGAGAGTGATTTATACTGCAGCACTATTAGAAAATCAGCTACAGACCCTTTAGGGCCATGTTCTGCCCTGATTTATACTATGTCCAATCGCCTTGTAGGTTAGGACAGAATTTGAAGCTTCAGCCATTTTTAAGAAAATCTGTGTCTGTAGACATTATCAAAAGAGTGTCTATGGGAGACAGCTTAGATGTGTTCCGGCCTGAGAAATGTTGCAAGACATCATGTAATGTAAATCCTGCTGGACCATATTGTGCCACCCTTCCTTACAGTTAATAGCATTGTACTCTGAGAGTAATCCCATTTTGTTCAGTCATGGCAGAAGCTTATCTCTCATGGTCACATCTCATTGCTAGTCTGCATCTCTTAAGTTACTGAGCTGTCTCTTGGTCCAAATCTTCCACCTGATTCTTACACCTTACTCTTCCCTCCTACTTTTCTTCTTCTGTTTAAATTTCATTTTCCTCTTAATACTCCCTTTCTCGGTATTCTTTCCCTCAATAAAGCATTTATTGATGATCGTTAAGCTACATGCCAATATGATGAGGCTGTTGATTTTGTTTATTTTCTTTCTATTTTCTAAGCGTTTGCCATTATTTGGGAAGAAAATGGAAAATTTTCTCCCTAAATAATGGCAAACACTTAAAACATTTAAATTTTTCTGTCAGCTATTTGGTCATATTGGGGAGGAAAAAAAAAAGAAAAACCTTTACTGAAAACATACATTTTCCAAAAATGTATTGGCTATCTTCTGTATACGAAGCCAGAACAAAGCATACTAGAGTAACTACCAGATGGAAACAGAAGAAAGCAGGAAATTAGAGCATGCATGGAAGGAGGAGAAACAAAGAAGGGCACAGAATGCCATTTCAAGCATGCCGGCATGGACTGGAGCATGCCATTAAATGTAATGCAGACAAGACCATAGTTAATAGCATCCTCGGGCATCTCTGCCATTTGTACTCAACTGTTAAATAATTTAGCACCTGTGGAACATCTTTACATTCTCTCCACTGAGTAATGAGGGGATGCGAACTCTGATGGAATGGTGGATTATCATCTTGTAATACAGCAGTGTATCTGAAACACATATTGTCTACTCACGTGTAAGCTCTGTTCGTAAAGCTGAAGGACTTTTAATGGTTTTGGACTCTGTTCCAGGCCCAGTTTCATACTCTAGCTCCCGATAATAAATCCGATATCCCAACAGCAAACCGTTCAGACTCTCAACCTTTGGTGGCTGTAAGAAGTACACACAAGTGCTTGGTAAGAAGTTCAATACAACAAAAAACAGACAGTTTAAGAGATTGGTAAACTTTAGACAGTCTCATCCAGAATCTGGGTTGTGTGTGACAGGGACCCAGACTGCTATAATGAAAACAGATTCTCAGCAATGAGAGCAAAACATTCATGGAAGTTACAAAACAACATTTAAAGGCATCATTGCTACTTTAACTCAGAGACAGTAATTAAAAGATGCTCTGCATTGAGCAGTCCACTGCTTATATGATTCATGAGAACAAAAACTTCCTACATTTTGATTGCACAAGACCCTGTATGTGACAATCTGTCTGGACAAACTAGTGTCAGGAAATGCAGATGTGGCTACACTTTGCCTGCCATGAACAGCAGAAAAGGGAAGCCAGTTTTTCAGACATATAGCAGCAAGAAGAGGAATTCAAATTTTTGGCAATGGCATTATTATGGAATGGCAATTCTCTACTGGTGTTCTCCTTGAGGACAGCTTCTGAATTCAACATGGTTGGAGATAAGGGATAGCTGATCGGAAGCTGAATAAGGATCAGTAGCTTTAATTAATTAGGTTATAAACTGGTTGGGTCTTTTTGGTAATGACCCCACTTCCATATGAGGTACCGCTACATTTGGCTAGTGTAGAACACACATCTCTCAAGCCCCTTGATCTGGCTATAACAAACGAAGAAATGGATAAGTCATGAGAATAGCTGTAATTTAGGATGTGAAAGATGTTTAAGCTCTCCCTTTTTGTGCCATCAGTAGAAATCTCACCTGTAACATGTTCTCAGACTATATTTCTTTTCCCCCAAGGAGTCTTGCACATAATATATTGGGACTCCCTGGATTCTCCTCTTTCTATACACTAAAAACCTCCTGCATCAAAGAATCTTCTTTCCAGCTGTGGAGCAGTGCATGGAGCCCAATACCGCTGTTCTCACATTGGCAAGATACCCCCTACTCCCTTTGGACAATGGGTTAAGTTGAATGGCAAGAGACCTGACTTGAGAATTAAATCTGGACTTGTATGGTAATTATGTAGGGCTACCAGGCAGGCCGTCCATACACTTCTGATTTCTCTACAACACACTCTGCCACTCAAGAATACTTGTATCTCAGCAAAGGAATACCTCAGCAACCCCCCAGGTTCTTCTCTAACGAGAGATTAAAAAAAAGCCTAAGAAATCCATTATACCAAGAGATTTTTTTTTAAATCTGAGTTACTTAGATATAGACAGTATATGGGAGTCATGCTGTTTGGAAAAAGTGACTTTTTAGGAGCTTGCAGTAGTTTTAATGTGGCAGAGAACAAAAGTGACCTTGAGCCATTATTTTCTAAAGAACTCTTCTCTCAAATTTAAGCAGCAAGGAACTGAAAGGGTAAAGGATAATGGCTGTAACTATAATGATCTTGCTTTCAAATTACAGAAAGATCTCCATGTACTTTGGAAACTTTACATGGAAATAACTTTATCTATCACTGAAATGGTAAGTACTGGGGTGAAATGCAGTGACTTTGTGTAAGTCACTTTGTGTAACTTTAAAGAAGAGAGTGAAAATCAATAATTCAACCATTTAAAACATGGAAAGAGGTAAGCAGTGGGAAATGTAAAGAATTTGGTAACAGTCTAGCAATCTGCCACTAAAAAAAAAGACACCCACCAGAACTGACCGTGCTACAGAAAAAGAACACCTCTGTATTAGGGAAAAATGTATTGTGGGGGATTTGGTCCATAACTAAGGCAGAGGGCTTACCTTTCCAATAAACTTACCTGTGCATTAACAGATGTTCTTTGAGATGTCCAGTCTATATCTATATCTATATATTCCAAAATATGCATGTGCTGAAGAAACTTTGCAGTTAGTAGTACCTAGAGGGGCAACATATGCACCCTTCATTTCTTCGTGTGCTTGAGAGAGAATATAAGAGGCGGACCTACTCCACCCACCTCATTTCTCCCACAGCTTTCAGACCCCCTGTTCTGTGGACTCTGCAGTAGCATGGGTAGAGAGTAGGTCATGGAATATGTATGTAGACTACAGATCTTGAAAAATATCCATTACAGTACAGATAAGTAGCTTTCTTTTCTGTACTGAGTGATAGTCCGTATCCCATTCCACAGCTGGTGACTCCCAAGCAGTAGAATCTCCTGTACAAGGAATTCATATGTAGAATGACTGCACTAGCATCCTGCCAAACCTAGCATCATCCTTGGTTACTTGCACTTTGTGAATGTGCAAAAAACAACACCCCCACCACAAAATGCCATGGAGATGTTTCTGAGGGGTATGCACACTAAAAAAGGTCACTGATGTAGCCTTTGCCCTTGAGCAATGTGCTAATTATCTGCAAGAAAAAGGTACCTCTGCCAATCTATATAATGATCCGATGCACTTACTATCCATCTGGATCGACGACCATTGCTTGTCTCCTAACCCTCTCCCCATAAGCCAGAAAGAGCCTGGATAACTTTGTGAAGGATCTAGTCCTGTCAAAGTAGAATATCAAGGCCCTTTCTTACATCCAATGTATGTAATTTCTTTTTAATTAGTGAGAAGTGTCATACAGCACTTAAAAATATGAAAGACTTTGTTTATGGACAAATACTTTACCATTTCCTATATAAATGTAAAAAGGTAAACACTATTGAATAAAAGCATACAAGGGACACACTAATGCTTCACATTATTAATTATTATTATTATACATCTAATTAAAGGATATTTCTTCAATTGCACATGAATCTGTTGAAACTTGTATTTATGTGTTCATGTTTTCCCCAGTCCTTCCCTCTTTCAAGTTTAGAACAGGGACACTCAGAAGATAAATGGCCCAAGATATTTTTCTTTCTTTGCCATGATTCTTCCTTGAAAAGGGTACTTTGCTGAAAGGTCAGGTCTTTCCACTCCGATCTGTCTTTCCTGGTAAAACTCTGCTTTTGATGTAATGGATTATTTAGGATTTTTTTATCTCTCTGGAGAAAGGCCCAAGGGATCTGCTGAGGTAGGTAAAGTGATTATGAGTGGTTGCCTGGATGGTGTGCAGCAGTAATAAGAACAATTTGTTTATGTCATGTGAGTTACAGTAACTCTTGTGTCTAAGATGAAAATAAAGTGATACCCAATCCTGAAGGAAACAGAAGCATCATCTAGAACTTTAAAAATCAATCTTAAGATTATTATTATAACTGGCTTTGAAGGAAAGAACTTGTTTTCTACCAGTTACATTTTAAAGTAATGGACCAAATACATGCAGTAGATCTAATCTACCTAGATTTTAGTAAGGCATTTGATACAGTTCCACATGGGAAATTAGTTAAATTGGAGAAGATAGGAATTAATATGAAATTTAAAAGATGGACAAGAAACTAGTTAAATAGGAGTCTACAATGGTTCATACTGAAAGGTGAACTGTCAGGCTGGAGAGATGGTAATAGTGGGATTCCTTAAGGATAGGTCCTGGGACTGATCTTATTTAACAGTTTTACTTCTAAACTTGGCAGAAAAAGTGTGCACTAATTAAAATTTGCAGATGTCCCCAACTTTGGAGGTGTTGCCAATATGGAGGAGGAGTGGAATATCAGACAAGAAGATCTGGATGACCTTGTAAACTGGAGTAATAGAAATTGGATAAAATTTAATACTGCAAAGTGCAAGATCACGTATTTAGGGACTAATAACAAGAATCGCTTGGGACTTATTGGTTGGAAATGAAAGAGGAAGAGGAAGACATGGGTATATTGGCTGCTCACAGGCTGACTATGAGCCATCAGTGTAATGCAGTTGTGAAAAAGGCTAACGCAGTCTTAGGATGCATCAGGCAATATATTTACAGTGCAGACAGGAAAGTGTTAATAACATTATACAAGGCACTGGCAAGACTGTGTCTGGAATACTGTGTATAGTTCTGGTTACCCTGTTAAAGAAAGATGAATTCAAACTGGAATAGATGCAGAAAAGGGCTAATAGGATAATCCAAAGAATGGAAAACCTACCTTATGAGAGGAAACACAAAGAGTTTGGGTTGTTTAGCCTAACCAAGAGAAGGCACAGGGGAGATAGGATTTCTCTCTGTAAATACATCTGAGGGATAAATACCAGGGATGAGGAGGAGTTATTTAAATTAAGCACTAAGGTGGACACACAAACAAATGGATATAAACAGGCCAACAACAAGTTTAGGCTCAAAATGTGGTGAAAGTCACTAATCAAAGGAGTAATGTTCTGGAACAGTCTTCCAAGGGAGCAGTGGGGGCAAAAAACTTAACAGGCTTTATGACGGAATTTGATAAACGTATGGAGGAGAGGGTATGATGGGACTGCCCACAAAAAATGCAACAAAAATTCCCAATTGCCTGAGATGAGATTCTGAGCTATTAGACAGGATTCTCTCTCAAGTAGCTGCCTGGTGGATCTTGCCCAATTGCTCAGGAAGTAACCTATCAGCACATTTGAGGTTGGGAAAGAATTTTCCCTGGGGTCAGATTGGCAGAGACTCTGGGAGGTTTTTGCTTTCCTCTGCAGCCTAGGGCATGGATCACTTGCAGGTTTAAACTAGTGCGAATGGCGAATTCTCTATAACTAGAAGTCTTTAAACCATGATTTGAGGACTTCAGTAACTCAGCCAAAAGTTATGGGTCTATTATAGGAGTGGGTGAGTGAGGTTCTGTGGTCTGCAACGTGCAGGAGCTCAGACCAGATGATCATGCTGGTCCCTTTTAACCTTAAAGTCTATGAGTCTGTAAGTGGATTTAAGTCGAGATAGTGCATTTGGATTTTATTTGGTGAATTTAACACATATGCTAACATTTAACTGGGAATGCCACAGTTCCTTCTTTCTCCTCTTCCCCATTTAGACTGCTGGTTTATTCTTTAACACGGCTGCACAATGCCCTGTTAGTTGTAGCCAAAATTTTATTTATGTGGAAAAATAAAGTACGGCTGAATTACTGAGATCCCATATCATACACATGTAACAATATAATGACATGTAATCACCTGCAACTCCCTTGACTTGGCTCTGGCACAACTAACCCAATTTTGTTTTCATGAAAATAAAAGCATTGAGTTACCTAAACAATTACACATTTCATATTAGTTACCCCCAATAATCAGTCAATTGGACAATTTGTTTTTGTACTGTTACATTTCACATTCCTTGTTTGTCCTTGAAAAAGACTACATTGATTTGGAGGTGGGAAAATTGATTAATACCTATACTAGCTCCTTTGGAAAATTGTTCAATATGTCTTCTATTTGTCACCAGGCAGTAAGGTTAAAAGTGTTACACCGTGCACTGCTGTATGAACATGTGCTCTCGACTCATTTGAACAGTCAGAGGTACCTTCTAAGTACTGTTGCTTGGCAGGAAAGTTGCTTGGTTCTCACACAGGAAAGAAGATTTTTTTCCAACATGCAGGAAGCCCAGTCTATACTGCAAACATGGGTTTTCTGACACACTCCACCTACCACGCATGCACTCCTTATTTAGGCAGAAATATATCTTAGGCAGGAGGTGGAACACAAATTCTGTCCCAGGAGACAGATGCCCTGTGTTAACCTATTGTGTTTTCTGTATTAAAGTTCACTAGCAAGATGAAGTCTTGGGTAATAGCACACAATGAATTCCAGTAAATCTAAGCAGATCCAGGCCAGACTGAAAAGATAGGAATAGAAACTGAAAATGTATATAAAGCAGACCAGGCATGATTACTTTCAGCATCCAGCTCAGAATATTATGCTGGAGAAGCTTCCATTCTTTAGACCTCGAAAAGAAAAGAGCCCGAGTGTAGGTGGAATTCCTTGGAGGTATGAATGTTGTCTCAGACAAAGCACATCCTTTTGCTTGTATTATCAACTGAAGGAGATTATATGCAATCTGAAATGAGATTTTTGTTCCCTGATCTTTACCAATTCTGACAATGACTCTGCTGTGTATTGTACAGGCAAACTGTGATACCTAGTAATATCAGCAAGATGACAGTACTACTTGTAAGAGAAATGTTCTCAGGCATCTGTAGAAACCCTTTTATGTTCCCTGTCTTCCTCAAGGTGAATAACTACTCAGTCCCCCTTAGACTAAAAGCCAGGAACCAGAACATTTACATCTTTCATCATAATATATACATGGATCAGGACAGCAGCAGGGAACTAGGATGCAGGCTTTCTAGTGTGTTATAATACTTGCTCTGCAGAGAAGTTGTTTAGTACATTCTGCCGTAGGCCAAAAAAGTTAATCAATCTTAGGTTACTGTAGAAATGTTTTAGTAATTTTTGTATTTTACCTACCTGCCATTGAACGAGGACTGAGGAGGTAGTGTGGGGAGTTACTGACACAGAACGTGGTGGTTCACCTGGAACTGAACAAAACCCAAGCCATAATAAAAGGTTAGAATAGTAAGGCATGCCACAGAAAGCTTACTCCATCAACCCCTCCTTCCTTCTCTACTGACCTTTCTGTCCCAGCCTCAGTGCGGTGTTGCTCAAGGAAAGAGTATGGACAATACTAATCCTAAGCCGGGACAGCCAGGGTATGTCTAGACTACATCCCTTTGTCGTTAGAGGGATGTAAATTAGACATACCGAAATTGCTAATGAAATGGGGATTTAAATCTCCCATGCTTCATTAGCATAAAAATGGACTCTGCTTTTTGTTGCCACGGAGCTTTGGCAACGAAAAGTGGTGGCCATTTTTATGCTAATGAAGTGTGGGAGATTTAAATCCCTGCTTCAGTAGCAATTTCGGTATGTCTAATTTACATCCCTCTGGTGACAGAGGGATGTAGTCTAGACATACCCCCAATTACCTACCTTATGACCCCTCTGTCTTGGCTACCTCCCTTAACAAACCCAGTATGTATCAGCTCAGGAATAAAGAAGGAAAAGCGCATCAGGAGCTCATGGCTCTGCAGTGTAATGCACTAGGTTCACTCTGTAGAATAAATTATTACAGTTTGCTAAGGAGTTGAGAAGCTTTTGCCATTTTTACCCCTTTAATTCTAAGGAGGCCAAACTGTACTGGATTCCCTGAAAACAAACTCAAAATAAATTAAATACACCTCAGTCATTTAGGAGGATTGAAGCCTAATGTGGATCATGAGTGAAAACAATTGAGGAAATTTTTTCAAACATATGCACAGCTCCACATTTATTTTTAATGATCCCTTGTAAATTATTCAATTTCTGCAAAGATAATGGTTGGCACGGAGTTTGGAAACCAATGAAACAGAGCTTAATTCCATTTAGAGAATTCTGAAAAGATGGTTCATTTTTAGAGGGCACCCCAGGACACTTAAATGTGCTGATTATTAATTCAGTGAACTTTCTTTACCATCCATATCAATTGTTTGTGAGCAGAACTGTGTTTGACTGGGCGGGTTACCACTGCCTAAGGCACAAAATGGAATTAAATCCACAGGAAAGTGTGTTCTAGAGGTTATAGTGAGCCCCCCCCAAACTCCATCCCATGCCAAGGTTGGGATCTCATCCCCTCTCTATTTCTCTTACCATCCTGCAGAGTAGTGACAGCTTCTGTCTCAGCACTGAAGTCACTATCACCAATATCATTGGTTGCTTTCAAACGCAGCTTATAAGAGGTAAATGGGTTCAGCCTGTGAAAAAAACAGTAAGGTGAGGGATGAATTTTTCTTTTCTCATGTTGTCTGAGACCAAACCCTTTATAAAGAACCTGCCCAAGGGCAAATGAAATTATTAGAGCAGTTAATTTCCTCTGAAGAGTCCTCCCTTTATATCCAGCCCTGTCCTTCCCACTAGTACTGGGTTTGCTCATACTCTCCACTGTTGTCATCACCTTCTCAAATATCAACAGGGCTGAGATGTTCTGTGCTCGTGATGGTCTACAAGAGGAGTGAGGAACCTCAGGCTCGGGGGCCGGATTCAGCCCCCAAACATCATGGTCCCCTGCAGCATTCCAGAGTCTTCTCTGGCACTCCAGCCTCTCCCACGGTGGGCTAGAGCACCCAAAATGTACTAACTTGGGCCTTCCTAGGCTCTGGTGTGCAAGGGAAATATGGGAAGTGTCTTTCGCCCTCTCAAGCAGGGGCCAGTCAGCGAGGGTGTGGCTTCCTGCCCCACTTCTCACCTGTGTTTGGCCCCTGACTGATTTTTCTGTGGGTCAGTGGCCCCTGACCCAAAAAAGGTTCCCCACCCTGGTCTACAAAATAGCCATAGCTGTGAATCACAACCAATGCTTGTTTCTGGTTCAGGAAAAGGGCAGGGAATGTTAATAATGATAGAATTCAAGATGTATATTCGTGTTTCAGATCTTCAAAGCACGGTTCATATTTCATCTAATACATCCTCCCAACATACCTGTGGAGCTGCTAAATATGATCATCCTCATTTCACTGATAAAGAAACTGAGCTCAGGAGAGGTTAGATGATTTGCCCAGAGCTACCTAGTGAGTCAACCGCACAGCTGACATTAGCCCTAAGACCGCTAGTCTCCCTGGTAACCCTCAAGATCATGCAGCAAGATTGGCAGGTTTCATTCCTATTCAATTTCAGGCTAATGCTATTCCCTGAATTATTTAGTAATTTAGACAGTGATGGCAGATTCACTACAGCTCTTCTGTATACGCATGGCTTTAAGATGTACAAAGAGCAACTTCTAAATGGTATAACCTTGGCAAAGCTTCTTCTAGCTTGGTGCTTTCGAGTCTCCTTCAAGAGCTGCAAGTTCAGGGCTACAAGCTATGGGGAGTTTAATTAATTAATTGGTAGCATCTGTCCATCAACCAGCAGATGCAACTGTGACTACAAGTGTAAAAAAATCGATTGGGTAGAAATGTGTAAAGGTGTGAGCAGTCCCTATACACTCCTTTGTGTCCCAGTGTGGTGTTGCAGGCATGTCCCACCTTGGCGTGACTCCTGGGTTAAATGCCCCTCCCCAGATGCCTGCGGTGACCTTTCAGGCACTTCTCTGAACTGAGAGCTCTGCTGCAGACATGGTATGGAAAAGCAGCTAGATCCCAACTGATCTACACCAGATGGCAGCTAGAACAGGGAAGACTGTGCTGGGGTAGGCAGCAGGGGCTAGCAGCCACGTGGTCTGAGGGAAGCAGTGGGAGCCAAGAAGGGTGGGGCTCTGTAGTAGGGACCAGGAGCTATGGGGAGCTGAGGTTGCTCAGCAGGGTGGGGAGCTCAGGGAGGCAGTGGGGATGGGGAAGAGGCAGTAAGGGCCCAGGAGCCCATCCAGGGTATGTGTGTGTATTTTTAAGGAACACTAGCTATACGTTTCTGAATAATGAAAACAGATCTATTTTAGACAGCCAGGTGGAGTTTTTCAGGTTATGTAAGGGAAAGACTGGGGAGGGAGGTTCTTATCTTTTCCCTGATTTGTTTGTTGTCCCTTATTACATTATTGGAGCATAATGAATCTCATTGGGTGGAGCTTATGAAGAGAATAATGCATATTTATTGTGTAGTACAGTGTTTCTCAACTAAAAAAGGAACTAGATAAATTCATGGAGGTTAGGTCCACCAATGGCTTTTATGTACAACCGTATTTATGTTGGCAAGTCAGTGAGTGGGAAAGGACAACAATGAAAATACATTCTTATAGACTATCAATGGCTTCAGTAGAAATTACAAAAGCTTTAATTCCAACGTGTCAGGTACATTTACATTTTGGACAGTGGGTGTGATTCCCAGCTTGAGGAGACAGATTCACGCTAGAACTAGCATGCTAAATATAGAAGGGTACGTCTACACTACGGCGCTAATTTGAACTAACTTAGTTCGAATTAGTTAATTCGAACTAAGCTAATTCGAACTAACGCGTCTAGAACTAAAAACTAGTTCGAATTAGCGTTTTGCTAATTCGAACTAGCAAGTCCACATTGAGTGGACTCTGAACAGGGCTTAAGGATGGCCGGAAGCAGTGCCGGCAGGGCATCAGAGGAGGACTTAGAGCGTGGAGATGCTGTCTCGGACTAGCTGAGGGCTGCGCTTAAAGGGTCCCGACCCCCACCCCGGACAGACAGTTCTCAGGGGTGCCCCGCTTGCAAAGCAGTCCTGGCTTGGAGTGCCCTGAGTGCCCACACTGGGCACATCACAGCACTCGGCCATCAGACCGGCTGCACTTGCCGCAGGCTGCCATCTGGGGAGAGGGGGCAATTGGGGGGCTGCAGGAGAGCTTCCACACCCAGAAGCCCGCAGAGCCAGCCCAGTCCTCCCCATCGGGGGCTCGTACCCCATTCCTCCCTCACCTCCTTCCACTTACCCTTCCCTAGCCCCCCTTCTTATTGATGTACAAAATAAAGATAACGTTTCTTCCAACATTGACTCTGTCTTTATTGAAAAAAACTGGGGGAGACTGGGAAAAGGAGGTGGGAGAAGGGAAGAGAAAGGCTGGGAGAGGGGAGGGCAACTAACATGATCAGGGGTTGGGAACAGGTCCCAGATGAAGAAAGGCTACAGAGACTGGGACTGTTCAGCTTAGAAAAGAGGAGACGGAGGGGGGACAGGATAGAGGTCTCTAAAAGCAGGGGTTGGGTGGAGAGGGTGCATTCAGAAAAGTTCTTCCTGAGTTCCCATAAAGAAGGACTAGAGGACACCAAAGGAAAGGAATGGGTAGCAGGCTTCAAACTAGTAAGAGAAAGTTGTTCTTCTTCACAAAGCAAAGAGTCAACCTGTGGAACTCCTTGCTGCAGGAGGCCGTGAAGGCTA